TCTATTAATGTGATTTGTGTCAGCGATATACTTGGGACTATATTACATATGATCATAATGAAATAGGCTGATGTAAAGTGTATGTTTTAAAAGAATCATGTTATTAGATCAAGGGCAAACACAACAAGGGGATTGGACTTTGATCACAAGATAAAAGCAAGAGCACACAAGGGACATATGAGGATAGGTAAGACACCTAAAAAATTAGTTAGCATTTGTTGCCCTTAACGCAGAAAAATTAAAGCAGATACCTTAAAAGCAACTGAGGCCAATAGGAAAAGGGGACCAGGAACTAGAGAAAAGGTGAGATCAAAAAGAATTAACCTAGAAGGTAACACACACACACTGGAAATTAATGTGAATCAACTCCCTGTATAGCTATCCTTATCTCAACCAGCAAAAACCCTTGTTCCTTCCTATTATGGCTTATACTGTCTCTACAACAAAATTAGAAATAAGGGCAAAATAGTTTCTGTTGGGTATTGAGGGGGTAGGGGGGAGAGGGAGGGGGCGGAGTGGGTGGTAAGGGAGGGGGTGGGGGCAGGGGGGAGAAATGACCCAAGCCTTGTATGCACATATGAATAAAAAAATCATGTTAAACATTGCTTATAAAAAGTTATAATCACAGTAAATGATTACTCTGTTCAAGAAAAAAGAATAGGGTTAAAATGGGTGCATCCAAAACTTTCTTAATACTTTTACCATATTTCTCTCTAATATCTCATAACCAGTCCTGTAATTACTAGTACAACTTACTTGGAAGCAATAATCAATAAGTCACCCAATCATTCCCAGCATTAAGTTCAATGGAAACTTTCCCTGGTACTCTACAATGTGTTCATTTTTTAGATGACATACCAAAGGTTATTAATTATAATAATAATAATAATAATAGTCTAAATGATGGTGAATTATCTTTTCAAAATCAAGCTTAAGAGTAGGTCTAGAAAAAATCATACTGTGAGGACACAATAACTTTTATTCAGTAGAGGGACACTGAGTGAGCACTGGATAAAGAAAGCCACTGGACAAAGCGGGCTCTGTGAATGAAGCCCATTCTTTGGATGGGCAGGAATTTGTACTGGCAGTAATAATTGTGCCCTCCACTCTGCATATCTACATTTTAAAAAAAGCACTTTACATGTCTCCATGAAACAGGTTTATGAAAAGCCATACAAAGCCTGGTGAAAAGTCAAGTGCAAGAACTGACATTTCTGTTCTCCATTTCTCAGTGTACATATGTCAATATTCATCCAAATGCAACATTCAAGAAACTTGAAAGAAAGTAGCAGTTTTCCGTCATGGATGCTACAGAAAGAAGCATGTAAGAGGACTCTCCATAAAGGCAACCACACACAGAAAGAAATGACATTTAGGTTATTTAACTCTAGGAAGAAATTTATAACATATACGGATTGTAAATATGAAAATATCCCATGTGTGTAAATGTGTGGACATGTGTATGCATATACAGACAAATACACGTATATGTTCTACCTTATTTGTACAAAGGAAGTATTTCCAACTACACAAATCACAGCATCAGTTTTTAGTAAGTAATAAGAATATTCCACCTTCCTCATTATGGATAAAATCCCAGAGACATTTTTATTCCATATTAGGAAACAAATACCAGCTAATATGGTTCAGTCCCTGTTCATTTCCTGGCTCCTAGCTGCTGCTTGACATCTCTATCTGCAGCTGTGCTTGACCTCTGCATCCAGCGAGCTTGCCAGCTTCCCTAGACTGTTTGTTTCCAAACAACCTTCTGCCCCATCCTCTCTTATTCACACATAGCCAGATTCCCTTATTATTTAGTTTTCATTTTCTTAGCCCTTTGTCCCTGTGCATCTAGGATCTGGCATTTTTATTGTAACAGAGAACTGATTTTGTGTCTCTTCATGATTTGATTACATGTGTCAGTAAATAATATATTCACTAAACAATCTAGGTTCTACTCACTGAGGTGAAAAGGCTATGTGATTAGAATATTATGTGGAAATTAAAGCATATTATCATTGATTCAATATAAGAAAATATAATTACAAAGTCCATAGCAATACTAGCTATCTATATTGAAGTTTTATGCTCTGCTCAGTATACTGATTACTAGAAAAGGTAAGGAAAAAGGTAAAGGTCTCCAATTTTTTGGCGAAAATGGGCTTTGGGTACTTGTGACTATAGTAAAATGACACCTTCTAAGTAACTAGACCCGTCAGGCCATTCTAAACCTGTCAAAGTCATTTTAAGAAGGGGAAGAGGAAGAGGGAGGATATTAGAGGTGATGAATCAAACTGGGGAATATTGTATGCATATATGGAAATGTCATAATGAATCTTCCTGTATGACTACTATATACTAATAAAAATGTTAAAAAATAAAACTACTCTATGATCCTACGTTACCACTCCTAGACATATATCTGAAGGAATATGAGTCAGGATATAATAGACACCTGAACACCCATCTTTGTTGTAATGCTATTTACAATAGCCAAGCTATGGAATCAGCATAAGTGCCTATCAACTGATGAATGGATAATTACACAATGGAGTATTAGTCAGCCATAAAGAATAATGAAATTATGTCATTTGCAGGAAAATAGATGGAACTGGAGGTCATGATGTTAAGTGAAATAAGCCAATCTGAACAAGATGCATATACTGCATGTTCTCTTTCATATGTGGACTATAGATCTTGAAAAAAAAAGAATGATATAAATGTAAAATGGGAACTTTTAGGGAGGAACCAGTAAGAGGGCAAAAGGAGCGGGTAAGAGAGGTGAATATGAATGAAGTATTTCATATGTGTGTATGAAAATAGAATAATGAAACCCATAAAATCATTTTCAAAGGTGGGGGAGTGAGGACAAGAGTGTGAATTTAAACAAACATGCAAATATAATGAAATCCCTTTGTACAATTGGTGTACACTGAATTCATTCATTTGTAGTCTATGACTAATTGTTCTTAATATACTCACAGTGTGTAATCACTAACACTAGTTTTAGAATATTTTAATCACTCTGCGAGCCTCTCAACAGTTACTTTCCATTTTCCTGCCTCATTGTCAGTCCTAGATAGTCACTGATGTGCCTTTTGGACTTTTGCACATTTCACATAGATCGAATAATATCAATGAGTGGCCTTTTGTGACTGGCTTCTTTCACTCCATGTGTTTTCAGGGTTCATCCATGTTGTGGCATGTAACAGTACTTCATTCCTTTTTTTGTCAGATAATATTCCATTGTATGACATATCACATTTTGTTTATCCAGTCATCAGTTGATAAGAATTTAAATTGCTTCTCCTTTCTGGCTATTATGCATAATACTGTTTAAATATTCATGCACTATTTTTTTTGTTTGGGCATATGATTTTATTCCTCCTGTCTGTGTAGGAGTGGAATCGCTGGGTAATATGGTTGCTCTGTTCAGCACATCATCAACACTAAACCATTCCCCACCAGCAATGTAGGACACTTCCAATATCTCCACATCCTCGCCAACGTTTGTTTTTACTTGGCATTTGCTTCTACCCATCATAAAGAGTATAATTTGGTATCTTTCTGTGGTTTTGATTTGCATTTCCCTGTTTGTCAATGGTGTTGACCATCTTTTTATGTGCTTATTGGTCATTTGTATGTATTTTTGGAGAAGTATTCAGATTCTGTGACCATTTTTAATTGAGTTACTAGCCTTTGTGTTATGATGATATGAGTTTTTTTATGTGTTCTGGATACAAATCACTTACTAAATATGTGGTTTACAAATATTTTCTCTAATTCTATGCATTGTCTTCTCATTTTTTTTGATGGTGCCATTTGAAGATCAATATTTTTAATTTTGGTGAAGTACAATCTACCTATTTTTTTCCTTTGTGTTGTTTCTATGTAGGCTTTGCCTAAACTCCTATAAGTAACATTTTATTTTAAACTTTGATCCAATTTGAGTCACTTTTGTTTCCAGTGTTAGAGAGGAGACCAAGTCTATTCTTTCACATGTGAGTACTCAATTGTTCCAGCATTGTTTGTTAAAAAGAACTGAATTTCAACTCAATTCAATTTTCCTGGCAACAATCCAGTTTTATTAAAGGCAGAGTATCTTCATTAAATCAAGAAAGTGTTCTTGACCTGAACAGTAGTATCAAGTGCCTAATTTCTGTCTTCTTTTTCCATTATCACCACTATGACACAACAGCCTCTACAACCAGAATGTGAATTGCTTTATTGTCAATAGTTTTGGAATAAAGCTATAAATAGAGAGCCAAAAATGTTATTGCCTTTTTAATTTTCTTTTTGCTGTTGAATACAAAATGCAGGCAGTCTCTCATGTAGCAGCTTGTTAAGTACCCTGATGCATAAGCACTTCAGTGTTTGATTCCATAATATCATCTCTATAATTTAGTTCAATTACGTCCACATCAACCGGATGCAGATAAATGTAATGAATGACTTCTCAGATATTCTGCTTCAACAGATGGAACTCATTTCCCCACAGCCCACTTAATACACAGTGGCTGGATACAGTTCATGTATTGTTTTTCATGTGCCACGAACAGAACACATCCATTTGAATAGATTTCCTCAGGAGAAGTACCATGAACTGTAGTACAGTGTTTCAAGTTAGTTTCTTCAAAATCTTTCAGTCACTTTGTATATAACCCATAAACATATTCCTTTTTTTGAAATTACTATCAGACTGCATGCATCTGAGAATCTGTTACAGTATAAATTAAAACTATTCCACGAGGAAGAGGGGGCGGGGCCGGGCTGCGGTGCCCTTGCTTCAAACTCCGGTTGTCTTCCATCACCACAGTGCGGCACACGCATGCGCCTGTGTGCTCTGCCCACGAGTTAGTTATCTGTGCTCTGATTGGCTGGTTCCATTGGACTCAATTTTGAAATTTGGCGGTTAAAGATCCAGTCAGGATGGGGTTTCACGAGACCCTGAAAGAGCGGAAGAAATGATGGTGATTTTGAAGTGGTGCTGAGCTAGGATCATGAAGGAAGAAGTGAAGGGAACTCCTGTAAGAGTGGCATTGCGTTGTCGCCCTCTGGTCCCTAAAGAAATTAGCGAAGGCTGCCAGATGTGCCTTTCTTTCGTGCCTGGGGAGCCTCAGGTGGTAGTTGGTACAGATAAATCCTTTACCTATGATTTTGTGTTTGACCCCTCTACTGAACAGGAAGAGGTTTTCAATACAGCAGTAGCCCCTCTCATAAAAGGTATATTTAAAGGCTACAATGCAACAGTCCTGGCCTATGGGCAGACTGGTTCTGGAAAAACCTATTCAATGGGAGGTGCATACACCGCAGAGCAGGAGAATGAACCAGCAATTGGGGTCATTCCTAGGGTAATACAACTGCTCTTCAAAGAAATTGATAAAAAACTGACTTTGAATTTACTCTGAAAGTGTCTTACTTGGAGATTTATAATGAGGAAATTGTGGATCTTCTATGCCCATCTCGTGAGAAAGCCTCTCAAATAAGCATCCGGGAGGATCCTAAGGAAGGCATAAAGATTGTGGGACTTACTGAAAGAACAGTTCTAGTTGCCTCCAACACTGTTTCTTGTTTAGAACAAGGCAACAACTCTAGGACTGTGGCTTCCACAGCTATGAACTCCCAGTCCTCCCGATCTCATGCCATCTTCACAATCTCCATAGAGCAAAGGAAGAAAAATGACAATAGTAGTAGCTTTCGCTCCAAGCTGCATCTCGTAGACCTTGCTGGATCAGAAAGACAGAAGAAAACCAAGGCAGAAGGGGATCGTCTAAAGGAAGGTATTAATATTAACAGAGGCCTCTTATGCCTGGGAAATGTAATCAGTGCTCTTGGAGATGACAAAAGGGGTAGGTTTGTGCCCTACAGAGATTCCAAGTTGACTCGACTGCTTCAAGACTGTCTAGGAGGTAATAGCCATACACTTATGATAGCCTGTGTGAGTCCTGCTGACTCCAATCTAGAGGAAACATTAAATACCCTTCGCTATGCTGATAGAGCAAGAAAAATAAAAAACAAACCTGTTATTAATATTGACCCCCAGACAACTGAACTTAATCATCTTAGGCAACAAGTACAACAGCTACAGGTCTTGTTGCTACAAGTCCATGGAGGTACTTTGCCTGGATCAATAAATGTGGAGTCATCGGAGAATCTGCAATCTTTGATGGAGAAGAACCAGGCCCTGGTAGAGGAGAATGAAAAACTAAGTCGTGGTCTCAGCGAGGCAGCTGGTCAGACAGCCCAGATGTTGGAGAGGACCATTTTGACAGAGCAAGCAAACGAAAAAATGAATGCTAAGCTAGAATTGCTCAGGCAGCATGCAGCCTGCAAACTGGATCTTCAAAGGCTGATGGAGAGTGTGGAAGACCAGGAACTACAAGAAAATGTAGAGCTAATTCGTAACCTGCAACAGGTGATTGCCCAGCTATCAGATGAAGCTATTGCCATTGAGGTGGAATCACAAGCTCAAGTGGAAAACAGTGCAGAGAGCAACAGGTCACCTGAGGTTTTCACCACTCAACACGCTCTGCGTCAAGCTCAGCTGTCTAAGGAGCTGATGGAGTTGAATAAAGCCCTGGCACTGAAGGAGGACCTAGCTAGAAAGATGACTCAAAATGACAGTCAACTGAAGCCCATTCAGTTCCAGTACCAGCATAACATTAAAAGCCTAGAATTAGAAGTCAAAAATCTGCAGAAGGAAAAGGAAGATTTGGTTCTTGAACTTCAGACAGCAAAGAAGGATGTCAACCAAGCCAAGATGAGTGAACGCCGCCGCAAACATCTCCAGGAGCTGGAGGGCCAAATAAGTGATTTGAAGAAGAAACTAAGTGAGCGGTCCAAACTTCTGAAATTGAAGGAATCCACAGAACATACTGTCTCCAAACTGAACCAGGAGATACAAATGATGAAAAATCAACGAGTACACTTAATGCATCAGATGAAAGAGGAGGCTGAGAAGTTTAGACAGTGGAAACAGCAGAAAGACAAAGAAGTAATCCAGTTAAAAGAAAGAGACCGTAAGAGACAATATGAGCTTCTCAAACTTGAAAGAAATTTCCAGAAACAGTCCAGTGTGCTCAGACGTAAAACTGAGGAAGCAGCAGCTGCCAATAAGTGTCTCAAGGATGCTCTCCAAAAGCAAGTGGAGGCTGCAGATAAAAGGAAAGCGACTCAGAGCCGTGGCATGGAAGGTATTGCAGCTCGAGTGAAGAACTGGCTTGGAAGTGAAATTGAGGTTATGGTCAGTACGGAGGAAGCCAAACGCCATCTGAATGACCTTCTTGAGGACAGGAAAATTCTAGCTCAGGATGTAGCTGAACTCAAAGAGAAAAGGGGATCTGGGGAGAATCCACCTCCTAAACTCCGGCGGTGCACATTCTCACTCGAGGAGGACCCAGGTCAAGTCTCAGAGGCAGAAGATTCGATTAAAAAGCAGATTGAAAGTCTGGAGACTGAAATGGAACTCAGGAGTGCTCAGATTGCTGATCTACAGCAAAAGCTCCTAGATGCAGAAAGTGAAGACAGGCCAAAACCACACTGGGAGAACATTGCTACAATTCTGGAAGCAAAATGTGCTCTAAAATACTTGGTCGGAGAGCTGGTCTCCTCCAAAATACAGGTCAGCAAGCTTGAGAGCAGCCTGAAACAGAGTAAGGCCAGCTGTGCTGACCTGCAGAAGATGCTGTTTCAGGAGCAAAATCATTTTGCTGAGGTAGAGATGGAGTTAAAAGCAGAGCTGGTCAAAGCGGAGCAGCAGCAGCAAGAGAAGGTGCTCTACCTTCTCATCCAGCTGCAGCAGAGCCAAATGGCAGAGAAGAAGCTGGAGGAGTCAGTGAGTGGAAAGGAGCAGCAGCTGCTAAGCACAATGAAGTGTCAGGATGAAGAACTTAGTAAGATGCAAGAAGTGTGTGAACAAAATCAGCAACTTCTTCAAGATAATGAAGTCATCACAAAGAAACTGACCCTCCTCCAAGTAGCCAGCAGACAAGAACCTCATCTTCTGAAGGATGTCCTTCAATGTCCAGACTCTTCCTTTGAATATATCCCACCTAAGCCCAAGCCTTCCCATGTTAAAGAAAAGTTCCTGGAGCAATGTATGGGTATTGAGGATCTAAAATACTATTCAGAGCATTCTGTGAGTGAAGATACAGATGGTGATACTGATGGTGACAAAGAGGATGATAAGGAATGGAAGCCAATAAAACTAGTTAAGATGTCCAGGAAGACCACCCAAGGGTGTTCCTGCAAAGGCTGGTGTGGGAATAAGAAGTGTGGGTGCAGGAAGCAAAGGTCAGATTGTAGTGGGGCCTGTAGCTGTGATCCCACAAAATGTCAGAACCGCCAGCAAGGCCGGGAGAACTTTAGTACTGTTGAGTGGACCCAGGATGCTGAGGGCTCCCTAAAACTAGAGGATCCCACAGAGGTGACCCCAGGATTGAGCTTCTTCAACCCAGTCTGTGCCACTCCCAATAGCAAGATCCTGGAAGAGATGTGTGGTATGGATCAGGTGCTATTAAATAAGACTCCTCTTGGTCTCTCCTTTGGCCTCCAAAGACTAAAACAGACAGCAACAGAATCCCAAGAAAATAAGGCCCCTGGGAAGAAAAAGAAGAGAGCTTTGGGCAGCAATACCAGCTTCTTCTCTGGTTGCTCTCCTTAGTAAAAAGATGCCCACTGAAGTTGCAGTCATCATCTCTACTCCCAGCCTGCCTTGGGGAGTCACTTTCAGGTTGCATTCAGGAGGGGGTTTTAGTGATATCTCTGGATCTCAGATTTCTTGTGATTAAGAAAAGGGACAGAGTATTGCTAAAGGGAAGGGTACCTTTGTTCAACGTTGGGCTTTAGTCTCTAGTGCCCCATCCCAGACAACTACCTTTTCTCCTCCAAAAGGTGCTAAGCCACCTGCTTAAGAGAGAACCTGACTCATCTTCCCAGTGTCTCATCAGAAGCCAGCCCAAAGTATGACCTGGCTCTTCCTTCTTTGTGAGCAGTTGAGCCTTTTCCCTGATGGAGATGAGACAAGGTTTTCCTACTTTAGGTTGTCGCAGCCTAAAGGAGGAGCCTGGCACAGGATGGAGGCCTGACTGAACTCCCTCATCCCACCACAGGATCTTTCCTGCTCTGACTTTTCTCTGGATTTTAAGTGTTTTAACAGGAGCCTCCATTGTCTTCTGGGTTACTGAAGTGAATGAAACATTTTTAAGTGTTAAGTAAATAAATAAATCTTAGCCTTTCAAAAAGATACAACTATCCCATGAGGATTTTTACTCATTGGATCAATAAGTAAAAGAATGAATCTCTAAAATGAAGCCAATTAAAATATAATTAGAAATGAGCATAAGGGAAAATCTTCATGACATTGAATTTGGCAATAATTACTTGGTTATGAGACCAAAAGCACAAGCAACTAAGGCAAAAAATCATAGCATCAAAATTAAAAACTACCATGCACCAAAAGTCACTGTCAATAGAATGAGTGGTGTGACCCACAGAATGTGAGAAAATATTTTCAAATCATATATCTAATCAGACATATAAAGAACTCCTGTAACTCAAAAACAGACCACCTAATTAAAAACGGGTGAAGAATTTGAGTAACAGTTTCTCTAAAGGGGCTGTACAATGAACAATTGGCACATTAAAGTACATTATCAGTTTTAATTATTAAGCAAATGAAAATCAAAACCACAATGAGATGATATTTCATGCCCATTAAGATGGCTATTATTTGAAACAATCTTTTAAAAAACCAGAAAATGTGTTGGCAAGGATGTGAGGAAATTGGAACCCTCATGTATTGCTGGTGAAAATATAAAATGGTATACAACCACTGTGGAGAGAGCCTGACAGTTCTCAGAAAATTAGACATAGGTAGGGCTGGGTGTGGGAGTTCATGCTTGTAATACCAGCTACTTGGAAGTCAGAAACAGGGAAATCACAGTTTGAGGCTGGCCCCAGTAAAAAGTTAGCAAGACCCCATGTCAACCAATAAGCCACAAGTGGTGGCACATGCCTGTGGTCCCAGCTATACAGGAGGCATAGGTAGGAGGATCCCATTCTGAGATTGGTCCCAGACAAAATTACAATACCCTACCTAACAAAAATTAGGGTGTGGCTCAGTGTTAGAACACTTGTGTTGCAAGCATGAGGCCTTGAGTTTAAACCCCAGCATCAGAAAAAAATAGAATTGTAGAATTGCCATCAGATACAGAAATTTCTTTTCTGGGTATGTATCTACAAAGAACTGAACTTGAAGGGATGTTCGTGCATCCATATCTTAAAAACATTTTTACTATTATATGATAGCTGTACAGGGGGGTCATTGTGACATTTTCATATATGCATATACACTGGTTTGGTTCATCCCCCTCCATTCTCCTTCCTATCCCTTTTCCCTTCTTAAAATAACCAGCAGGTTTCAATGTTCCATATTCATACATGTATAGAAAATACATCACCCTCCTTTACCCTCTCCATTTCTCCCCTTTCCACTAGTGCCCTCCCCCTGACATCACCTGCTTTGCATTCTTGTCCTTCGTTGTTTAAATATCTGTTGTTCAGTGGTGATTTCACTTTGATATTTTATCTGTAAATATGTTGTGCTTAAATCAATCTCAGCCCTCCACTGCTCTTCTTCATAATTTTTACCCTACCCTGTATTGTTCAACAGTGTTCAGTGTGTTTTCTTGTCATGCACCCATATTCATAGAAGCATTATTTATAATAACTAAAGGGTGAAAACAACCCAAATGTTCATTCATAGATGAATGGATAAGCAAAATTTACTATATAAACACAATGGGATGTTAATTCAGCCTTAAAAAGAAAAATTCTGACTTAGCTACAACATGAGTAAAACATTCTTCTAAGTGAAATAAACCAAATACAAAGGGACAAATAATAAATTATTCCACTTATATGAGGTATATGGAATAACCGAATTCATAGAGACAGAAAGTAGAATCGTGGTGCCATTCACAGGGACGAATAGTTGAGTTAGGGATTCTAAATGTTTGGGGTGTTTTATTCCTATTTTTCTGAAATAGAGAAATACATATTCCCCTCCAGCCATATTATTTGTTTCATTTTGCTCAATATGAAACATATCCTCTCTTCCCCTTATTCATACTTTAAGGTCTTTACAAAATTTTTATTACTGTATACTCTACAAGGTTGTTTTGTATACTCTACAAGGTTGTTTTGCCTTGTTGTTTCACACATGCGTATACTATACTTTGATCAAATTAATGCCTTCTATTGCCCTCTCTTCTCCCCATCCTGCCTCCAACCCTGCTAATTTCTTCTTGGTTGTGCTCTTGATGACAGCCATTTTGACTGGGGTGAGATGAAATCTCAATGTCCTTTTGAGTTGCCTCTCCTTAATGGTCAGAGACGTTGAACTTTTCTTCATGTGTTTATTGACCATTTGTACTGCTTTCAAGAAATGTCTGTTCAGTTCACTTGCCTGTTTATTAATTGGGTTGTTGGTTCTTTTCAGAAGTTTAGTTTTGGGGCTCCTTGTATATTTTGGTTCTTAATTCCTTGTCAGATGTATAGCTGGCAAAGATTTTCTCCCTTATATAGGTACGCCTTCATTCTAGTGACTGTTTCCTTTGCTCTACAGAAATCTTTTGGCTTGATGCAGGCCCATTTGTCAATCCTTGCTGTCATTTGTTGACCTATTGGAGTTTTATTCACAAAGTTGTTGCCTATTCCTGCATCTTCCAGTGTTTTCCCATAGTAGTTGCAAAGTTTCAGGTTTTACATTAAATTCTTTGATCCACTTTGAATTGATTTTAGTGCAGGGTGACAGGGATCTAGTTTCAGTTTTCTGTATTCAGATCTTCAGTTTTCCAAACACTGTTTGTTGAAGATACTGTCTTTTCTCAAAAACATGTTTTTGGCACTTTAGTCAAAATTCATCTGACTGAGCCAGCTGCTGATGGCTCATGCTTGTAATCCTAGCTTCTTGGGAGGCCGAGATTGGGAGGATCGTGGTTTGAGGAAAGCCCAGGCAAATAGTTCACAAAATCCACATCCAAAAGAAACCAGAACAAAGTGGACTGGAGGAGTGGCTCAAGTGGTAGAGTGACTGCTTTGCAAGTATAAAAGCCTGAGTTCAAACCCCCCAGTCCCATCAAAAAAATCAGCTGGCTGTAACTAGGTGAGCTTGTTTCTGGGTCTTACATTTCATTGGTTTACATGTCTGGTTTTGTGTCAGTACTATGCTGTTTGTGTTACTATGGCTCTGTAGTATAGTTTGAAGTCAGGTATTCTGATACCCCAAGCATTGCTCTTTTTGCTCAGGATTGCTTTGGCTAATCAAGGTCTTTTGTGTTTCCATATGAACTTTAGGATTGATTTTTCTGCCTCTGTGAACAATGTCATTGGATTTTGATGGAGATTACACTGAATATAAGATTGATTTCTGTAGTATAGCCATTTCCACAATGTTGATTCTGCTGATCCATGAACAGAATGAATTCACTATTCAATGAATGGTGTGTTTTAGTTCTAAGGCATACTTGTTGATTTTTTGTCTGAATGTTCTATTGATGAGAGTAGGGTATTGAGACCACATACTATTATTTTATCTGGACCTATCTGTTCCTTTGTGTTCAGTAATGTTTGTTTTATGAACTGGAGGGAGGCACTGATGTTCGGTACATATATATTTAGAATTTTTTGTCAAAGATATTAGAATTTATAAGGATAAGCAAAGCAAAATCATATGTAACATAAATATTTGATTTGAGACTAGTGTAAACACTATACAGCTGACATAATGCAGAGGGGTCATGAAGGGAAATTAAGAAGCAGTTCCTTTCAAATTGGATGGTTTCTGAAGAGCTTGATGGAGGAATAGTTTTCTCCTTTTATTTTATGATTTTTACATTTACTTACATGTGTATACATTGTTTGTGCCACCTCCCCCTTCCTCACTTCTTGGTGGATTGTTCCTTTTATTAATATGTGGTGACCTTCTTCATCTCCACTGACTAAATGTTGAAATATACTTTGCACAGTATGGATATACCAACTTTCACTTTCTGGGTATATCTTTGGTTATGAAGGATGTTTCTTGGAGACAATAAATTGTTAGCTATAATCAAACAAACTGTATCTTTTGCTTAGAGAGTTAAGCTTATTTACTTTAGGGTTATGATTCGCATGTATTTACTGTTTCCTGTGGTTCCACTGCTTTTTTTCCACGTTCATTTGACTATTGCTTGTTTTTTTTAGGGAGGAGCATTATTCAACTTTGGATTTTTCTGTTTTGCTGATTTGAACATATTCAATACTTCCTTAGTTCTCATGTGTTCATCTAGTTCCCTTTTAAATTTTATTCTTTCCTGGACTCTCCTGTTTGTGACTATCTTTTTTTCTCTTGTGTCTATAGCATTCCTTTACGTATCTTCTGCAATGCTGGCTTAGTGGGCATGAACTGCTTTAACTTATTCTTATCCTAGAAGTTTTTTATTTCTCCATCACAATTGAAGAATAACTTTGCTGAATCTAGGACTCTTGGTTGCAGTTATTTTCTTTCAGGGATGAGATATATTGTTTTATGCTTTCCTGGCTTTCAGGGTTTGGGGTGAGAGGTCTAAGGTGATTCTTGCATGTTTAGCTTTGTATACAAGTTGGTGTTTTCCTCTTGTATCTTTTGGTTTCCTTTCT